AATTTAAAATCTAAACTAAAAGTGAGCGATGGATTTTTGAAAACTTTAACAGTTAGTAAAATATTTCATAATTACTAATTATCGCTTATATTATTTATTATATTAAAATTAGAAACAAGTTTTTGAATCATAATAAAATGCGTTCAAGATTTATGAATTTGTTAACAACAGATTGTTACCAATCGGGTCTTTTAATTTTCTACTAAGCTTTTCTCAGCCAATAACAATTATAGTGTATATCCATAGTTAGATTTTGTGAGCTCATAATTACCTACCTAAATCTTTTTGTCATACAAAAAATTTAAATGATCTTCGAACTAAAAAGAGTTAATCGAAATTTCTATTTAACACAACTTCTATACTACGAAACAGAGTCGGATAAAATAGGTGGTCAATAATTTCTACCTTTACTTTTTTAATTTATTTATTAAACTTTTCTCAATAAATAAAAAGTTTAATGTCTGATCCTTTAACATCAAATGGAGTTAAGGATGATAAAGTCGAGCCTCCTGAAGACGTGGGTAGCAATTTATTAGTAGAATTTTCCAATAGAACACTTGCCTTACTAAATCCGAACAAAGACGAACGTTCCTCTCCTTATGAATCAGAAAATGAAGAAAGGGAACCGGCAGAAGAATCACCTAATTGGCGTGCTTCCATAATGTCAAATCTCTTCCATATGAAAGGTGTTTCTACAGGTCAACCTGACTCTCACTCTCATTCAGATTTGAAAAAACGCCCGAAACCACCAAGGCGTCAAAGGTCTAAGCCATTAGAGCTTGCAACTGGACTTTCGGAAGATCAATTATCTGCTCCATATGTTGAAGAAGTACTTCCTGAGCGACCTGATTTCATAAGGCGTCCACCATTTACTTCAGATACAAATGAAGCTGAATCGTCCAATAAAGCAGAATCATCCGAAGTTGGAGGTAAATTCCGTACTAAATGTTCTTTTTTGTTATTATTCTTTTACGTCTCATCACTAACATCAATTGTTATTCTTATTTTATTTTATTTTTTTTTTTTTTTTAAAGAATCTTCAACTAGAAACAAATTTCAAAAACGTGTTAAGAAGGCACTAGCTTTGTCAAAAGCAAATCAAGTATTCAATACTTCTGATAGAAATCATTTACAAGATACTGGTAATTTAGGAGTTCTTATATTTCCAAGTCCAATTACTGTGCCTTATTTATGGGCAAGAAGAGATTACAAAAAACGTAAAGCGGTAATTAAGAAAAAATTTTTTTTTTTAAAATTTTCTAAAATGAATATTCATGATCACCTTTTAATCGTTTTTATTTACAGCCACCTATTTTATTTGATGCTTTGAAGGTATTGGGATTTTTATTACTTTGATCTTATTTTAATAACGAGTCAATTTACAATCAGAATGTTTTGATCTTTAGCTTGCAATTACCGACTCGTATAACGATGCGAATGTTTATAATATGCAAACTATATTTAGAGTAGAATTAGAATATGGTGATGTAAAATGGGTTATAAAAAGATCAGGAATTGATTTTATCTCACTTTATATCAACTTGAAAAAGAGAGCGGATCTCCCTTTCATACCAGCGATACCAAATGGTCTCTATAAATGGTTTCGTTCACTATTTCATAGTACACATATTCGTCATGAACTTCAACAAATCGGAGTTCTTAAAAGGAGGGAACAGTTGGAGAGTTATTTAATTCAAATAATTAGAACCTTAAATATGCATGTCTCCTATGAGCTTAATGAATTCTTGGAACTTAGTGCAATTTCTATAACAAGAGACATGGGTTGGAAGGGTAAAGAAGGTTACTTTGAAAACAAGGTTGAAAGGTTCAATACACCTATTTGTTCTTTCAGAAATTCTAATGTAAAATGGATAAGTGAATGGGTGATCGTTCGTGACTCATATATAGCATTTTGTTCTCATATAAGTTCAACAACTCCAGCTGATGTTTTTCTACTTGACAGAAATTTTCAATGTGATAAAGTACCTATCCAAGGATTTGATCGTGTTTTAACATTTCATGGTCGAATTAATATAGAAAATAGCTCACGAAGGATTGAGCTTAAAGCTGATACGCGGATGCTGAATGAGTTCTTGGAGAGTATTGAAAGAGTCAAGCAATCATCTCCTTGGGTTAAGCAACATCGATTTGATTCTTATGCACCTATCAGGGAGAATGCAAAGATTAAATGGTACGTGGACGGTAAAGATTATTTCTTTGCAGTTTCTGAAGCCATTCTAGCAGCTAAATCAGAAATTTATATTGAGGATTGGTGGCTATCACCAGAATTGGTGTGTATCAATATTTTTTTTTTTTTTACAAAAAAAATTTTGTTGCGTTAAGCTAAATAAAAATTTTTGCATCGATAAAGTACCTTCGTCGTCCTCCATCTCAAAATGAACAGTTTCGATTAGATAGATTGCTCAAAAAGAAGGCCGAAGAAGGTGTAATGATTTTTATTGTTGTTTACAAGGAAGTTAAATATGCTTTACCTCTGGATTCATTTCACACAAAGAAAACTCTCCAAGAACTTCATAAAAATATTAGAGGTATTTATTAGAATTATTATTTTTTAAGAATAATGTAAGAATTCGTTATACCTGGTTAATTATTTTTGTTACAGTTCAAAGACATCCAGATCATGGACCTGAGGGTACAATGTTTTGGGCTGTGAGTATTTACTTAGAAATTATTTTAACATTTTTATCAATGAGTAATTAAACAGATAATCTTGTTTCCTTATTATTATTTTTATTTTTCAAATTTTAGCATCATGAAGTATGTTGTTATTTTTTATTATTCTATTTTTGTTCCGAATTCCGAAATTAGATTTACCTAAAGAAAATTTTCGTACATAGAAAATGGTGGTTGTTGATTGTCGAATTGCATTTATCGGAGGATTAGATCTATGTTTTGGGCGTTATGATACTCATGCCCATGAGTTGGTTGATTGGCATCCAGACGATGACAAACAACACTCAATATGGCCGGGTCAAGACTATTCTAATCCGAGAATTAAAGATTTTCAGAATGGTAATAATTAATTACAAATTGGCATCATCGAAATTTAATTTATTGATTTCATTTCTTATTAACGCGTAATTTAGTTGTCGATTTCGATAATCCATTGATTGATAAATCACGAACTCCTCGTATGCCATGGCACGACGTTTCAATCGGTATGTGTGTATTCAATACGTTGTAATTTGTGTAAGATGTGTAAGGCGTTTAATTGATAATTGATTCGATCGTTTTTTTTTTTTCTTGTTTTTTTATCAGGAGTGGTCAGTATATTTTAAATCAAGATTCAGATATTTAAGTTAATTAGTAAAATTTAATTTCAACTTTATAAATCGATTCTAGGTTGGACAACCAGCAAGAGATGTGGCGAGGCATTTTGTTCAAAGGTGGAATTTTATTAAAGAGGAAAAAGCTTTTGACAAAGAAAAATTCTCGTTTTTAACTCCAAAAGGAGAATATGTTAGTACACGTGATGAGAGTAAATTCAAAGGTACGCTCAAATTATGAATTATAAGAGATTGTTTCGAATTCTAACTATTTGTTAATTTAGGAACTTGTGACGTGCAATTATTGAGGAGCAGTGCATTTTGGAGCAGTGGAATTAAACTTGAAGTAATACATTTATTCTCCGTTCATGATTTTCAATAATATATTCTATTTATTAATTTATTAATATTAATTCGATTTAATTTTATAGAGTTCCATATATAATGCATATTGTTATTTAATTAGAACTTCTAAACATTTTATTTATATTGAAAATCAATTTTTCAGTGAGTTTATTTTCATTGAAAATCTTAATCTTTCTGTTATTATTAATTTAATTAATATTTATTTATGGTTTTTTTTTTTTTCCAAAAAAAAACCCTAGTTACAACCACAGAGAATGATTCAAAATACGTTGTCAAAAATAGGATAGGCGAAGTAATTTTTTATTTTATATTCAAGTTATAAATAGTTTTATGGGAACTAAATGGTTCTTTTTCTTTTTTTTTAGTGTATTGTTGAACGTATTAAAAAAGCGCACAAAAATAATGAAAAGTTCCGAATCATTGTAGTTATGCCCTTATTGCCATCATTCGAATCTGATTTGAACTCAAGCGATGCTGGGACAATTCGGTATGTGATGTTCTTTGGATACTTATTAAAATTAAGTAAATACATAGATAAAATTAACTCATAAAAAATGTCGTCCTAGTATGGTTATGCACTGGCAATATGTGTCAATATGCCGTGGTGGAAGATCAATCTTAGAAAAATTAACTGAAGCTGGAATTACTCCGGAGAAGTATATTACTTTTTACGCATTGCGCGGACATGATAAAATACATTATACTGATAACGTGAATGAAAATAAATCAATAAAATCGAAGAGATCAATAATATCCAATAAAGGAAAAGGAAAGTTGGCAGATAATGATGATAATTCCGGTGTATCACTGCAAAGAAAATCGAGCAATTTATCACAAAATTCGCATGACGTGAGATCAGATAAAACTTCGTCAGAATTGAAACCACCAGAAGACTTGAGAAATGCACCCAATGCAACTAGTGGTGGAAGCAAAGATTCGCAAATACGACATCCTTTAGAAAGCTCATTTAATGATGAGAATGCAGAACCTTTGACAGATGATAGAATTGGAGGAGAACCAGCTATCCCTTCTGGCATAGCTCAAATGGATCCTAGAAAAGCTTATATTACTGAAGAAATTTACATACATAGTAAATTAATGATCGTAGATGATCGATACGTTCTTTGTGGTTCAGGTAAGATCAAATTCTAATTTAAATATATATTTTTTGTTTTGATATTTATTCCATTTATAAATATTTAATTGTCTCTTTTTCGTTATAGCTAACATAAATGATAGGTCGCAACTTGGAATGCGTGATTCAGAAATTGCGATTGTTGTCGAGGATCATAAGAAAGTGGAGACGCGTATGAATGGAAAACCGGTAAATAGAAAAATTTTCTTTCTTGAGATCATTCAAATATTAACGAAAATATTTCTTTTCTTTATATAGTATCAAGCATCCAAGTTTGCATATACATTGCGTAGTAATATATTTAAAGAACACCTTGGGTTACTAGAAACACAGGATCACTCATCAATCACCAAAAGTTGTTTACCACCATTGAGACCTGAAAATTTATATGAAGCGCACGACAAAGACGAGTCGATTACATCAATAATAGATAATCCTGCATCATATTTTCCTCCCAAGCATCCTAAACATCCCACAAAAACAGATCTTGTAGTTATGGATCCACTTTCTGATGAATTTTATGATTATTGGCGAACTACTGCACATAACAATACTGAAACTTACCGTTCTGTGTTTAGATGTGTGCCTGACGACAACGGTAAGTGATTATTAAATAGATATAATTTTTTTTTTAATGTTTAACTAATTTTAAGTATGATGCAGTCGTTGATTGGGAACAATATGAAAAATTTGTTCCTGACCCTGCTAGAGTGCAACCATGTCATGTAGCAAATTCCGAAGCAACCGAAGAGGATGTACGAAAAAAATTAGGGAATGTTCGTGGACATTTGGTAACATTCCCCACCAAATTTTTAAATCAAGAAAACTTATTAGGGAGTGTAATTTCAAATGCTGTTACCCCCGCTGAAATATTTACATAATAGATGCAAGTAATTTATTTTTAATAGTTTTTAATATATTATTTACATTATATAACTACATTAATCTTAATATTAATATTATTAATCAATCTATATACATAAATTAAATAATTTATTTCCATAATGTTTACCGTATTTCACGTGAAAATTATGATTTTCTAGAGATTGGTGGTCATTTATTAGTGAAACGCCATACAATTAATGATAAGACCTTAAATAAAATATAATGTAGTTGAAAATTTTAAGGAAACACTTTTACTCTTTTAACTAACATTTTAAAAAGTTTTATGCATTTTAACTTTTCAACTTCTTTTCAACTAAAAAACGATGATCTTTGCCAAACATTTTAGTCACAATTACATGAATCGAACAAACTAAATTTTCACTGTACTTTTTTGATCGGGTTGACGGCTAAAAAATTCAAAATATAAAAAAACTGAATTTGTGATAAAATCGATGAGGTAATGCATGCATAAGTTTCGCGTTTAGGGTTTCAGTTGTTATTACAATTGGAGTTATAAAATTTAGAATAGATTAGCGATTTCGCCGTTATGAAAAAAAAAAACACTTTTTTTTAAAAAAAAAAAAAAAAATATACAGACAAAAAAAATAAAAAATAAAAATAAAAAAAAATTCAATGTAAATTTATTCGGATAAAATATCTTACATAAAAACAAAAGAAACTATTTATCAAGCTTCAACTTTAGTAACGACTAATTCAAGATTTGGATCAACCTTAGAAAGAAACCCAGTTTTTTTCTTAATTTGTAATCCTTCAACAGTTTGGAAAACGAGATTTCTAACTAGCAAACTTACTAATATTTTCATTTCGATTAAAGCCAATTTGTTACCAATACATGATCTAACACCGGTGCTAAAAGGAAAATAATTATAATTGGTAATTCCTTGTATCGAAGAAGGATCTAACCATCTTTTTGGAACAAATTCATCGGCCGTTGGTCCCCAAATGGAAGGTAGTCTATGAAGCGCATAAAATGGAATTCCAATTAGAGTATTCTATTTTTTTTTTTTAAAAAAAAAAAGAGAGAGGATTTATGATTTAGAACTTTTGAAAAAGGACATTTTACAATAAAATAAACAAAAGCTATAAAAACATACCTTTGGAATAAAATGTTCACCTAAAATTTGATCTTTACTGCTAGTCCGAAGAATAGTTATGACTAAAATAAGAATTTTTGACAAGTTAATAATAATAATAATATGACTACAAATTTAAAATATTTAAAATTTATACCTGGAGGAAATAATCGTAATGTTTCTTTAACTATACAATTTAAATATTCCAAAGAATTAATTTCATCAAAAGTGGGATTAAATTTTGATTTATCAGGAAAGGCTTTAACTAATTCTTCACGCAATAAATCTTGTTCGTGTGGATGTTTTGCAAGTAAGTATAAAGCCCAACTTGTGCCATTAGCAGTAGTATCATGTCCTGCTAGTAAAAATGTCATAATCTAAATAAAAAAAATGATAGAAACATAAATAAACAAATATATATAACTAAATTGAATTCAAATTTTCAAAGCTACCTGATATTTCAGTTCATCGTCAGTCAGCTTTTCTTCAATAGGCAAAGTTTGATTGATCTTAATTAATAAAGATAGCAAATCTTTTCCTTGTAGTTTGTCATCTCGATATTTTTCATCAACAATCTTTTTAGCTTCACGGTCAATAACTTCAACTGCATAATTGAATTTCTTATTTATGTTTATTGGAATCTTTCTAAGATATGGGATATAATAAGAAAAAATGGCAATAATTGTGGATAAAGTGGTATTTTTGCCATTCATAATCGTATGATAAGCTTCTGCTAATTCACTAGGAGATGTTAACGAATTAAATTCATTATTAAATCCTATATTATTTTTTTTTAAAAAAAAAAAAAAATTAGTTTAAAAAAAGAATTGTATAAAGCCTGTGTATTACTAAGAAAAAAAAATTCTTTTACCAACTGAACCAATGATATCCATTGTAGTTTTTAATATATATGGAGTAAGATTAATTCTTGATCCTCCTTTGTTTACTTCGTCTTCTATCAAACCTTTTAATGTAAAAGCTACGCGTATAATTGTTGGTGTCATATCCTAAATTGTGAAAACAAAAGGGAAAATAAATTGTGTTCTTTTGTTATTTCCCTAAAATGATTTGAATTCAATAAAAGGTACACATACCTTAATGTTATGATGAGTAAAGGCAGGATGCATCATTTTTCTTTGTCTCTTGTGATCGTCTCCTTCTACAAGAAAAAGGCCTTGACCCATAAATCTCTCAGCATTAGCCATTCTTTCTGCAGGTTTACGAAATTCATATACTTTATTTAACATAATTTCTTGTAACATCTTCGCATCCGTGATCAAAAGAATAGGTTTATTAAATAATGTATGGTATTTCAAGAAGCTTCCATATTCTTTTACCCATCTAAGATATGGCTCACCAGCCTAGATCAAAGAAAAACAAAAGAAAAAAAAAGGTTAGCTTTAATAATAAAATGATTATGATAAAAAAAAAATTTATAATATATATCTATACACACCTCTTCCACGAGAAATCTTTTAAAATTTCCGTAATAAAGACTTTCAGAAGGTGGCCCAGGGATGTTTCTCAAAGGAGAAATATAATATGGCCAAATATAAACTTTATAAGTAAACCAACTTATACCTCCTAATACAAGTAATGCAAAATAACTAATTAACGAATTCAAATCAAACATTTTTATATTTTTTTTTTTTTTTTTTTTTTTTTTTTTTTTTTGAACAAATTTGCTTTTTCGATTAAATACTTTTTTTTCTCTTATTGAAGTCTACAAGTCTGGTTAACTCTTTTTTTTTTTTGTTTAGTGTAGATCACCATTTTGTTTATTTATCTTTGTAATAATAATCAACCGTGCTTATTCAGAAAAAAGAAAATAAACTAGAGAACCATTTATTGGTCAAATATTATTAACGGATATTGAATTTGAATTTAAAAATACATACTATATAAATAAAACCTGCATAAAATTTTCGAAAGGTTTACAATCTAGATCCTGTATGGAACTGACCCAAATGACTCTAATATAGTAAAAAATATTATAATTATTTTTTACGCGTCGCGTTCAATACACTTCGTCATAATGCCATTATATTCAATTGGTATATGCTTTTTATGCCAAAAATGTTTAAAATGTGATGAACTATCTTCATCTAGAAAATGTAAATGCGATTTAAATATATCTAGAGTATATGATCCAAAAACGAAAAATAGAATTTATAATAATTTGCAACTTTCTGAATTAGATAAAGCTAATAAGACTTACTTGTATAAAGTCGAATTTCTCAAAATTTTAACTACTGTTTATGCTCTTTGTATCATAATTTGATGACAAGATTAAAGAAAAATCAAACTACCAAGAATATTTTACTAAGAGCATTTAAACCTAATAATAAATCACAGGGATGTTAAAATCCAGTACAGTCCTAGTCCAATCCTGAAATCCCAGTCCTAAAGAAGACCCGATCCATAGGACTTGAGTCCTAGGACTGGATTCTAGGACCAGGTCCCGAGACTGCAGTCCTAGGACTGCGGTCCTATAGAAATTAGGACTTGCAGTCCTAGGACTCAGTCCTATAGAAATTAGGACTTACGGTCCTTGGACTGTGGTCTTATAGAAAAATAATCGTTCAAGAAAAACAATGACGAATCGTTTGACTTGAATGATAAAAGAAATAATCGTTCAAGAAGAATGATGACGAATCGTTCGACTTGAATGATTATTTTTCTATAGAACCGCAATTTTAAGACCGCAAGTCCTAATTTCTATAGGACCGCAGTCCTATAGTTCAAAGGACTTTGAACTGGACCGGACTTTGTAGGACTGTTTAGGACCTAGTCTCATGGGACTTTTTAACATCCCCTAAAATCACATAAAAATCAAGGAAAATTAAATCCCGAAAATTAACAAAAATTTCAAAAGAAGTCAATAATAATGATGTAATGAGGTAGAAGAAATTAATGAAATAGAATTTGAGAGAAATCTGATAAATAATGATGAAGAACAAGGCGAAAATTTTGAGATAATGAAGAATGCAGAGCAAGATAAAGAGTTAAATGAAATAGATAATTCAAATATTAAATACATTTAAATTAGTAATTAAAAAAGAAGGAAAAATAATACAGCAAAATGGAAAACTACTTATCATATAGATTATAATAGTTTCATAAAAAATCTGTATATTTTAATATAGGATCAAATAAATAAACTTGTATTTCGTAATGATTGTATTATTTTATATAGATATGTAAAAGGTATTGGAACTAAAACTAACTTATCAAATGAAAAAGATTGAAAAATGTTTTTAAAAGAATATCAAGCTTTGAGTTCACAAGAAAAAAAAATGATAATAATTGCAAACTTGAAATTTAAATAAGAAAAACTAAATAAATTACAAAAAGGTAAATTATTAAAATGAAAATTATAAATTATGTATATAATAATTAATTACTATTTTATTATAAAAAAAAATCTGTTAATTCTATATAAAACCAAAGAAAAAGAAAGAAAAATGCATTAATGTTATTCAAAAAAATCAAATTTAACTAAATATAGAGCTAGAGTAATTACAAATATTATATAAATTTTACAAAATATCATAATAAACATAAAAAATTATGTTACATTAATAATTCAAATTATTTATACTTAATATTACAATATTTGAGTACTTAGACAACATCTATTATAAGATTTATTTTATTTTATATGTTATAAATTTTATAAAAATTTATTTATTTTGCATAATATTTATTTAATATAATATGATATTGTAAATTTCTTTAAAGTAATTTACTTATTTATAATATATTTTAAGAGTATAAATTAGTAACAATTAATGAACTATTAGCATTTTTTATATTTGTAAATAAAACAAAAAATTTCAAGTATTAGCATTAACTTCTACATTTACAATTATACTAATCTCAACTTTAATTTCATAATATAT